ACTGCCCAGCAACACGCACGCGCCGCGACTAAATGTGGCGCTCACATTGCCGCTTTCAGCGCGTCACATTTTCCCCCATCCTTCGCTGAGCCGGGAGTGCCCATTGCTCGCGAGCTTAGCCACTGCGCGACCGCCAAAAAGCAGAGCCCTTTCTTTCAACTCGTTCCTCCTTGCTGCACCAATCAGTGCTCCCAAAATGCGGTCGGTGGGTGGAAAAGGAGCCCAGAATGCCCGCCGTGGCCCGGTGCCTGTGTCCTCGCCGCCCATCGCAGCGCGTCGCCGAGACGGAGTCGGCAGATTACGAGCCACATCGCGTTCCCTGCCGGGCACTGGCCGCATGGCGCCCACGGTGTCCCTTGGAGCAGGCGCTCTGCCGAGCGCTTCAGCATCGTTCCCTCGGTGGCGGGGCCGGGCGCCCCTGCGTGCGGCGTGAGGGGCACCTGCCAGCGTCCGTTGTGCCAGGGCACGTGCCTTGTGACCGGAATGTGCTTGTCTACGTTTGACGGGAACGTTCATTTGTTCATTTATTCCGAAGCCTTTCCTTTGTCTCCCGTATCGAAAGGTGAAAACGAATCGCCTTTTCGGGTACTGCAGCAGCGAGAACAGACTGCAACTCCAGCTGGACAGAATGACTGAGCGTGTCAATGTATGTCCCGGGAACGTTCATTCCCTCATTTGTCCCTCAGCCGCTCTCGAGCATTGAAGGGTGAAAACGCGGAAAGTGAATCGCCTTTTCAAGTACTACGACTGCGAGAACAGGCTGCAACTCCACCTGGACAAAACAGCTGAGTGTATTAATTTACGTGAAGAAAAGGGAGGACAGCAGAGCACAAGCTCCTTGTGAACTTTCTGGAAGAAGGGTGCATGGAAGAAGCCTTAGGATTTTGTCCTTGGCGATTGATATCGAAGGAGAACGGCAGGGCTTACTGTCGAGTGCAGTACAAGGAAAGACACAGAAAACTTTGCGCTGGCACTTTGCCTATCTCAGGCTTTAAAGAGCACTGCATAACGGAGGAGCCCGGCACATCTCCTTGCCTTCAAGCCCATCAGAGTATATTGCGCGCAAGCAAGCTGCTTGAAAAAGGAACCAACAAGCATCAGCATCACGTTGCTGCTCCTCTCATCGTATGCAATGTTCAGTGGCCTTGTTATGTCTTGTAATGATGGCAGAATATAAAAAAAGTTATTCTATAATGCAACACATATTTTGACGCATGGTTCTTGTGCCCTTGCTGAAGATAGAGCGTCGAGTTTGCAGGGCATTTTCTTACCAACACGCTGCCACAATAAGTACGAAATTTTTGTTTAATCTTTGTATTATGTGGCATGTGCGTTACCCGAAGTGTGATGTTTGGGCCAAATTTTGTCCGGTGCATAAATCGCTCATAACATCATGAGCATCCACAAGCACCGGAAAACGACAGCTTAAAGAGCATCATCACATTGGAGGAATTGATTTTAGGTGACTTGCACTTGGCACCATTGCTTCTTTTTGGCACATTCGCAGCTCCTAGCAATGCAATCTCGGCTTGCCCAGTGCTTTACATCGTCGAATGCGACTGGTGCCTCGCTCCGGTCACCATGTGTTTTCACTTAATTTGGCGACCTGTTGCTTCTTTGACCGTCGCCATGCAGCTGCACCTGAAGTTTTTTTGTAAGTAACTGATGCGTACGTGGAAAACTTTCATGATAATTTCACATGTTTTTTCCACAAGTTCAAATGTTCCACCACCGCATGGACGACGCCTCAAATATCCGCCCTTCTCGATTTCCAACGCGTGGAGCCGCAACGGGTCGAAAGTAGAATATCCAAGATATTAAAGTCTGTACTGTGTGTTTATTGTCGCAGCGAGGCTATGTTGTTACCCACCTTGGATATTCTGCCTCGATTCATACTTGAATCGAGGCAACAGCCGGCAGTTGAACCAAAAATCCACCTCAGTTGCTTACTGCAACGCCCTGTAGGTGCCATTGCCACCACGTCAGCTGCAATTTGCTCAAGCTAGAAGCAGATGCTGCGTGTAGCACAGCAGCACGAAGACCAGCTAGTTCGCGTAAACTGACATTGCTGTCGCTTCCGCTGTCCTCATCGCTCCAGAGAGGCAGTCACGGCATATCCACAGGACACCAGTGTTGCCCCCCTTCACGGAGATGCTTATCTACATTGATAGCGTGGCACATATAACACCTTTGACATATAACACCTTTGGACTCTTTCCGATGCCTTTTCATGAGGATTCCCTCTGCTGCTACAGAAAAACTGTCGCTATCTCGTCCATCCAGATACAGCGCCCCTTGAGACCTTTGCCACGCTCGATGTGGAGCATTTGCTGCACACCGCGGTGGTGTCCAGCACCAGGCTTGACTTTTACGTTTACGTTTACGTTTTTCCTTTTACGTTTTTACGCGTACAATGATCAGTCCTCCGCCATCTCCAGCACCCACAACACAATGTTCACCTCGCCCTTGGCAAGGGCGATGATGGTGCTCAACAGAAACTCGTCTTCTGCCCCTTGTAGGCCGTCTGGCTGCCACTCTCCGGACTCCGTAAGTCTGTAAGATTGTCTGTATGTACTGTCCTTATGTACATCGGGCAGTTTTTACGTTGAATTTACGTATTTTTACGCATGTTTTTAAGCGTAAAAACGTAAAAACTAAAAACGGCAAAACGTAAATACTGTCAGTTTTTACGGCGTAAAAACCAAGCCTAGCCAGCACAATCTCCTCCGTTGGTTGCAGCGGCTTCAGTACGCCGTGGGCTCAAATTCTCATCGGGTCCCATTTTCGTTGTTCGCCAAACTTCAGTACCATTTAATTCTACTCTCTCAACATTGCCGCCGTGCCCTATCATACTGTGAAGCAAGGCCATGATGGTGTGGTTGTGTGGTTGTGACTCTTTTGTCATACAGTGGCGCTGTTCCAGGTTTCGCCATCGGGTGGTGTGGGGACGTCAGGTCAATGCACAAGCCTGCGTTGCATTGCATTGCGCGAAGTTGCCCAACACCGTTCGACAAGTGCCGCGCATTCATGCAGCCAGGTTTTGCACGCTCATTTTAATGCTGGTAACCCAGCCCCGCGTCGCCTCCATTGTTTTGTGGCCTCGGCTTACGACAATTTCATCACGATCTTGGCTTGCCATCATATCCATTAACGAATATTCGCAAGACAATTTTGCTAGGTTTGATCGTCTCACTTTGTCACCATTGAATCACCTTTCTCTTCTCTGCAACAGGCGGCATTTTCTCGGTGGGTGCAAACGCCGATCGCAATGGCGGGGCTGACGAGCCGGTGCAAGAATTCATTCACCGCTGCAGGGCCATACAATTTGGTCCCATTGCCATCTGGAACTGGCGGATGATCCTTGTGGTATCCATGCCGCTATCAAATGTGGCATCCACGTGCCTTGTGCTGCAAAGGACCAAAGACGCGAAACTTCAACTGTGGTTCTGTGCATTTTTTCCAGTGCAAGGAACGTCAGCTAGCGACCGGGTTTCAGTTGCCAAGGCAAGAATACAACAATTCCAACAAAGCCCTTTGGCCGGAATCATGGTGGCGATGCTAGACGTACCAGCAGCTTCGTAGCCGGTAGCAATGGGTACAGCTACGGGTAGGAAACGGTGCGTATACGCACCTGTTCGTAACCGCCACCGGGTATGTTGGTTAAGACGGTGCAAGCTCGGAATGCATTGCGAAGCCTTCAGTGGAATGTACAGGACGGCGCGGCAACGGATGTGTTGCCACGATTCAGAAAAATCACGTTGTGTGGGCGCAGGACACAGATGGTACTGAGTGGTGCACAGATTCCCAAGAACTCGGTGACAGGACTTGTCATGCCAGACAGCACGCGGCTGTGGGCCAAGCGTGGCGTGACTTCCTCGTGTGGTGGCATTGATTACGGTATGGCATTTCGCGGGGTGGCAGCGAAGTGGCTGCTATCGCGGCGACGATTGCGACATCAGCCAGCGCTTGGCGCCTGCTCTGGGGCAGTGCAGCTTCCACCCCAGCCCCGCGCGTTCGCTTGTTCAGGGCTCACCTCTGTCACGACATCTGCACCACGGCACCGCGGTGCAGATGGCGGCCCAGAGTGGCGCTGGGCATGTCATGCTCCTCTTCACCGAAGTGGCCCGCCAGGTGGCATTGTCAGAGTGTCGAAACGCCCTTTTCCTTCTGAATGCTGCGTCACATTTCCACGTGTTGAAAAGCGCCGTCGCCAAAATACTGTTGGCAGCACTGTTGGCCAAGTGCCGTTGCCAAGTGAAGTTAACTTTACTTGGCCAACAGTCCTGCCATCAGTGTTTGGCAGCGTTGCCGCGCACCGTCAGCAAGCACTGTGGGGCGCAAGGATTGAGGCCGGTCTGGATTTGAGCTCAGCGTCAATTTTTAACGTTAAGCGTGCCAACATCGGCATTGGGACTCCCCCGACGCTGCCAAGCCCTAGGTTTTAGTTCGCAAGTTGTACACGCCCCAGGGCTGTCGCCATCAACGTTGAACGGGTGCCCAAAACTCAGAGCGCAGCAGAGGGCAGAGTCCAACTGCACGCACACAATGTTACGTAAAGCTGCACAAGAACGTACCTGAGGAGGTACACGACAAGGGCAGCAGGGGCGCCAACCGCTCACTGGAACGCAGCGACTCGCGTTGTGCCCGTCGCCCTTAACGTAACACCGGCGGTGCCCCAGTGTCGCCATCAACCTTGATTTGACGCCCACCCCAGCACACTTCGCCAGGTGGAAATCTAGCCGAAAATGTCCCCTGTGTCGTCCCCAGCGCAGCCATTTCGGTCTCAAAGGGCGCGCCCCCCTTTGAGTGGCCAAACACGGGAGTAACCCCCAGCGAAGAGTGAAGGAATCGGTGGAATGTCACTGACTTGTTCCGCCGGGAGTTGGGCCGCGTTGCCTACCTTCCACCTGAAGGCCCTCCCCGGCCCCCGCTGGACCCAGTCACCCGGGGTGCACACGACCCCACGCGAAGTGCGGAGGACCTGAGGGGCTCGATCGCCGATGGGCAGGAGGCTGAGGGCGCTGGGCAATTGGGTGCGTCCGCAAAATCCCTGAGGGCAACACCCCTGTGGGGGATGACTCCGCGCGTTGCGCGCCCTCGACCCCCGCAAGCATATGTCGCCCGCCGCCTGTCCCGACGCCCGCGTCGGCTGAGGGACATTCAGAGCGGGTTTGGCCTCAGGGCAGCGTCCCTGCGCTTGATCCCGTACCACATGTCTGTCAGCCAAGCGCAGTGGGCCGGAGGTTCACGAGACTCGGGTTCTCTGCTGTCATTAGCCGACGGGTTGGTGGGCGGCAGGCGGCCCCCTTCCGGAACGATTGGCGCTCGAGGGGGCGGGCCGGCGCCATCTCACGCCCTGTTTGCCGCCGCTTGGCCGCAGGTGTTGTGCGGCTGGGGGGCCTCGAATGTTGACAAGCCGAATGCGGACAATAAGGACGCCAAGGTGCGGGACGCCCCCCTGGGGTCGGTGCGGCGGTCGGCCCCGAGTGGTCGCGGTCGCGGGGCGGATGATGTCGCTGGGCGGGGCTGAGGGGTGCAGATTCGATCCGGTTGGGGTGTCCTGCGCAGATGCAGGACGTGGTACCTGATGCGCTGGTGACGACGACGCTGCCGAGGCTGCCGGCGGGGCCGCCGGAGGACGTGGAGGCCCGCATGCTGAAGTCGTGAGTGGGGGCATGCGCGCTGATGAGATTTCCTTGCATCGCGCACGGTATATACCTCCTTGCAGTGGGAGCTCGATGGGTTTGTCCCCGCCGGGGGCGGTGGTGGAAGGTGCACAAGCAGAATGGTTGGCTGCGCGTCCCTCGTTCGGCCCTACCGCGATAAAATATTATTTGAACGCTTTTGCCTTGTCAGGAAACCTCACCCTCGGTTTTTGAGCCCGCTAACGGCACTCTCGGGATTCGAATTTGCTGTGTTGGTTCCCCGTTATTCGTTGCTCGGCGCTCGACCCACAGGTACTGCTTGAAGTCGTGTTGCCCTTTGTTATTTAGTTTCCTAGTTTTCGCAGAGACCCCCGTGTGATCCTCTGTATTATGGAAACAGTTTAACAAAGTTGTAACTTGGCAACAACTGTATGACCTGATTTTCTTCTTGTTCGCAAGAATCTTCCCCATGTAGGCACCGCAGTCTTTGTGATGGAAAATAACATTTGGGCCAAGAGCACGCCAATCAGGGGCGCCTTGGGATTGTGTTCATGAAAGCTGTTCTTCTGGACACAAACATCCGGCTGTTGCAGTGGCATGCTATGTTACACTGCTCGCTTCTGTCAGGCGGAACAGCCTTCCAAACGCTATGTGCTTGGAGGGGCTTGTGCTGGTTGCTTCATTGTTTTCTCCACAGTTTATGTTGCTCATGACAAAGTGCATACACAGGGCTTACACATTCCCTGGGGCTGTCATGGTCCAGCTGGTAGAATTTTGACAAGTGTGTGGGCACATCTGGCCTCCTCAAATATGTCAGCCTCAAAACCCTCAAAATCTTAGGAAACAGTAGTAGTCTGAGGACTAGCGACTCTCATTTTTGTAAATGCATTTGCAGGCCCAAGCGGAAAAAGGGCAGAGTGAAGGACTATTATCATCTGGGGAGGACACTGGGGACTGGAGGTGAGTGTGCTTGTGTTGCCTATGTTGCCATGGGATCATTCATACGATCCCTTTTTCCAACAATTTGTCAACAGGCACTAGAAACATAGTCCTTGCACGTTTCAGAACATGAGAGGTGCATCGGCAGCCAATAAATGCCGATCCGTCCCTCACGAGCAGCATCCTGCACAAGGCTCTTTTGTTGGTGTGTTGCACGTGGTGTGCACGATTGTGTGGTTGCACTCAATGTGTTCAGTAGGTCTTTCCCAGGTGTGGAGGAGTCTGATGTTCTTGCCAGGAGGGGGAAAAAGGGGGAAAAGGTGTCCTATCAGACGTTGTGCCATTTCCATGCACCTCTGCAAGCACACAATGAAGGCGTCACTGACTGTAATTCTTACTGGCCGTGTACCCCAATCCCCTGCTCAAAGGGAAATGCCCATCGCATAATATATGTCCTTTCTTTCCGCCATTGCTGTGCAACTGGTCGATCATACTGCCTGTGTTTGGCCTCTGGGAGCAGCCTATCCATTTGACCACAAATGCAGCACCTGCAACAGACCTACAACAGAACATGCACTCAGTTGTAGGGCTGCTTGTATGTTCTGCATGGCATAGCTTTTGATTTCCCTTTGTTGAAGAATGATAAAGCAACTGTCCTTGCACCTGCACAAAAGGCGATGACTTGCAGTGATTCACACACAGATTGTAGCAAATGCGAACCTCATAGGTGCCTTCTCAAAACCTAAATCCCAATGTTATCTGTTTGTGTGCTGCTGAGTTCGATTGGATGCCTATGGACTCAGTCGCTTGCTTGTTGCGTGACTGGAAAAGGTTTTGCTGCTGTGATGCTGGCCACTGAGAAAAGTACTGGGCAAAAGTATGCCTGCAAGATTATGTCACTGCCTGGGAAGGATGCCCTGCTGGACGATGAAACGATGTCAAGGTGTGCACTCTGCCACACTGCAGTGACTGAATCACACGCCTCCTATATTGCAACGCTCTGACGGCAAAGGACACTGCATCTTTAGCACCATCGTAAAAACAACAAGCATTATGTGCACCTTGGCACAGTGCTTGTTGCTGCAGTGGCCCTCTGAGGACAACAAAGCCTTGCAGGATTGCAGGTCCAATGCTGAAAGGTTTGAAGGAGACTGTGTGCCCAACTGCCCACCAATACCGTGGCAATTATTAAGCAGCAAAAAGACAAGCCAATTCACATTGTACATCGGGTTTTCCCCTGCCACGCTGCCCACAAGACTATTTGTTGCGCTGCTGATTCTGATAATGTTTTTGCATCGTATCTGGGATGTTTTGAAGAGTGAGTCACTGTGGAAACATCAATTTGTATCGGGAAGCTGGATGTAAGGGTGCTTATTTGGCACGTATCCTAATTTCCAGAAGTTCACCACTGATACTGCATTCTGTGTGCTGGAGTTTGTTCGAACTGGGCAAAGCAACTGCTACTGGGGTATACACAAGACTGTCATATCGCAAGCCTTTCCATGTGTGGCACAACGTCTCAAAAGTGGTCGGGCACTGATGCAAGCTTTCGTGTCAAGATATTGCAGGGCATCAATATCTGTGCAAAGATGCACGTTGCTACTAAAAACTGCTCACACAGAGAATTGTCTATCTCCCAAATTGAGAGCTTGACCCCTTGGAACCAGAATGGAGACGCTACTGACAAGGGCTATAAGAGAGAAACTGGCAGGCCTGAAACCTACAAACATGCAGTTTGTGCCTGAATGCAGAAACGTCCTGCCTGTGTGCTGGCAAATTAGCACTGGACCATGGCCTGTAGCCCATCAACAAGTCCAAAGAGTAGAATGCCTAATTTGGTTGGATTTGGCTGGGCACAAAGCATGTTTTCATAGATTCAGTGGCATGTGGACAACGAGGCTATTCTGGATTGTGCCGCCCTTTGGCTGCCTCAGCAAATTCGTCCTTTGCGCAGGGAAGAGGTATTGAAGGAAGTGGAGATTGTGAGCAAGACCCACCACCACAACATTCTGGCCCTGAAGGAGTTCTTTCTGAGCAAGACGAAGGTAAAAAGGCTCTCACATGCTCATACAGTATAGGAGGGAAGCCAATTGCGAAATAGCAACATGAAACAACCGGTCCCTTGTAATGCAGGATATTGTTGAATGATTGTATTCCTGCACACAACATGGAACACAGTGGTCTTGCGATTGCCGCTGCTGGGGAGCAGTATTGTACCAGCAACGAAGCCCGACTCCGTAAGGATGTCATGAAATAGGTCCTAAAAGCAGCCCCCTGGTCCAGATGCACCAGGATGTAGGTAGCACTGCCATTCATGCTCAGTGTTCCTGAGCTCAAAGGATGTGTCTTGACAAGCACTCAATTACGACAGGTGTTGTGTAATACCGGACCAGCATGGCACCAGTATACTCCATGTGTAAATGCAGTCAATGTATGATGCATTACGGTCGCATATGTTCCATACCTCTAGCAGATTTGGCTGTTTTCTGTTCGTTTATGCTAAGTGTCAGCTGTTGTTCTCCTTCCATTCGATCATCTACACACAAGTTGGTTCCTGCTTTTGCAGAAATGTGACTAAGCACGGTTCTTGACATTCAGGTTTACCTGATCACCGAGTTGCTGGAGGGTGGCCAGTTGCTGGATGCCCTGCTTGCACGTACGGATCGCCATTACACAGAGGCAGATGCCAAAATTGTGGTGAAACAACTGCTGGAAGGCTTGCACTACTTGCACGAGAGGTAAGCAGCACTTTTGCGCAAGGTGGTACCCCTGCTGATGTCGCACAAAGGCCGCTGGCTCTCAAACCTCAGCACGTGCAATCATCGCCAGACTCCTCTACTTGACTTGCTCATTGGACGGGAGAGTGAATGTGTTGTGATTGTGATGCAGGAATGTGATACACAGAGACCTGAAGCTGGAGAATCTCATGCTTGTGCAACCCGACAACATTCACGAAATCAAGATCGTTGACTTTGGCTTGGCAAGACACACAATTAGCTCGATGGCCACCGTTTGTGGCACACCGCAGTATGTTGCCCCAGAGGTTATCACACGGGACGTGAAGGACTACGGGAAGACTGTAGACATGTGGGGAGTCGGTGTCATCTTGTACATTTTATTGTCGGGGTCTCCACCTTTCTGGGACCAGAACGAGATGGTGATGTACTCAAAGATAAAAGCAGGAGACTTCAGCTTGGAGGACAAGGTGTGGAAAAAAGTCTCCTCAAGGTGAGCCAGGGTAGTCCCATGCGCCTTTTCATCCAGTAGCAATGATACATTGTTCAAATCGGTCTTGGTGTGATGGGAGCAGCATCCCAAAATGCTGCGGTCGTGGTGGCTGTTGTACTCTAGTCTCAGCAATTCGGAATGAATGGTTGATTTGGCACTTGAGGTGTTGGTGTTTGCATATTTCCTCCCGTGCACCTTGGATGGCCGCAATGTTGTCAAGCCCCCCAAGGGATGATGTTGGCAGCCGATGGCTGTGCAGGTGGCAATTTTGTCATTGCGTGTGTTGCACACTGGCAAGCAGCGCCTTTACCCTGAATTCGTCGATGGTCCCGCACGACGCCACCCCAGTCCTTGCACTTTTCTAGGCACTTGCCACTGGTGGTGCCTTGTGTTGCTGCTTGAGCTGTGCTTTTGGCTGACCGGCGTGTTCTGCGCAGTGCCAAGGATTTAGTCCAGAAGCTCTTGACTGTGGACCCCAACAATCGGCTGACAGTGGGCGGCGCCCTGAAGCACAAGTGGATCACGGACTCGGTGTCCAGCACGCCTTTGGACGACGCCCGCAAGAACATGGAAGACAAAAGCCCCATGTTCAAGCTGCGGCAGGCTGGTGCGGCAGTGGTCATGCTGAACAGGATGCAGAAGGAGCAGGAGGAGCTCGTGCGCTCAGTTGAGGAGGAGGATGACGCAGACATCGAGGAATCCGAAGCGGAAGGGAATGGGTCACCTGGCAAACCAGTAAACGGGACGCCCTCGTAGCAAGTGGAGTTCATGCATGGTGGGTTTTCGTGATGTGGCCGCAAGTTTATTTTCTCCTTTTTTGGAAGGGGGGAGGGGGATGCGAGGGTGGGTTGGGGCTGCTGGTGGTTGGCGGAGAGTGGCTGCTGTGGCATGTCCTGGGCAGGCGTCGTCTGGCATGGCCGTGGGGTGGCCGTGCTGGAGGCGCGTGGCGCGCAGGGCGTGCGAAATTGAGAAATTCATCCTCGAGGTGTTCCATGCACTCTGGCGGTGCAGCACTGTGCAGGCGTGGGGACAGCAGGTCCGGGCCGGCGTTCTTGCGTGGGGTGGGGGCTGGTGGGGCCATCGCGCTTCGGCGGCGCTTTTGTAAACGATGCTTGTAGTGCATGAAACTTGAACGGATGTGGAGGCAGGAGGGGTTTGGGGGCAGAAGGGTTAAGATGTTTTGAAAGTTTCCTCTGGGATTGTTGCACGGGCACAGGGCAGCCGGGGATGAACGCGGGCTGGATGCAGACGCCGCACCAATCCAGTTTCACTGCGATCAGCTCCTGACATCTCAGACTAAATAGTTTTTGAATTCTGCCAGAACGTCGCTGTTGCTGTCTCGTTCGTTGTGTGACTAGCTCTGTTCTTGCATGTCCGAAACGTTCTTTTGGGCTGGTATGCTGCTGTGCCAAGGGCCCCTAAAAGTCCGCATGCACCCATTTGCGGTGATGGCTCCAATTCGGTCCTGGTGCGCGTTCCCTCCTGGGGCACGCTTGAAAGCCTAACAGGCGATGTTGCGCGCTCTCCAAGGTGAGCTCCAACGGCAACTAGCGCAAACATTGTTGTTGGTCTGAGCGTTGATGTAGGGCAAACGCTGATTGATGGCTAGGGTTGGATTGTACTCCTTGCCGCACGGCGAATACCCCTCTCCAGGTACCATGGCGTGGTGGGACACAGAAACGTCCGCTAAACCACACTCTGGAGCAACGGACACGATGGATTGTCAATTGGCGAAGGTACAACGACCGCCTTCAGGTGCAAGGTGGGTGGCTGTGTGGGGGGCGGAGTGAACATTTGGTCATGCTTACGTTCTCCAACTGCGCCCCATTTGGCACGACATCAAAACAATGAGCGAGGTCGTGGTTTCAGACGCATTCCTCAAGGCCGTGGTAAGCCGAAGACTTCCGGCAGCGACATCCTCTGCAGCCTCGGGGCCCAAATTCTTGCTCACAAGGACCACACCACATCCATTATGGTGCGCGGATGGTCAATTTGACGCCAACGCTCAAAACCTGTAGATTCTCTAGTTTCGTGACGTCGTTGATTCTGCACTACTTTGTGCAGAATCAGTGACGCCAGAGACGTGAAACTGCTTGCATGCACTGAGCACTTCGTGGACCGGTACACTGCAATTCACTGCCCTTTTGGGTGAGATGCCGGCACACAGTCACAGGAACTACACATTCGCCACTCGACATCTGGCACATAGCCTCCGCATTATTGATGAGGTCTGCCATGCACTACTCATTGGCACACCACCCCACCCCACCCACTCCACCCTTTGACGCACCCCAGGCCTGCACTACGACGCGGAAGGCACATACTGGCGCGCCCGCTGCACGATGCTCTCCACATTCCGCTCCATCTCCTCCACGTCGTCATTCTGCAAAACCATGACGATCTCTTTCCTGCGAGAGGCACCCAAAGCACATCCGAATGTTGCTATGCGCTGATGCGACAAGCAAGGCGTCGGCGAGTCGACATCCCCAAACAACGCCACAAGCGCCACCTCATGGGTAAGATTTGTCACAAGCACAAAGAACACATGTCATGCAAAGGGCAACCCCTTCCGAAGCAAATGGGTGTGAGGCGCCACCGTTAGGGTGAACAGGGCAGTGGGTTGTCGCTTGCTTGTTTGTTTCTTACATGGATGCCTCCACAGGACGTCACGACATCGATCAATGTAACACGGGAACACAGTGTACTTTGGGTGGGTTCAGTCCCACCCATACTGCGCAAAACGCGCATTACTGACTTGTTGTGTATTGACACATGTAATCAGTGCGGGTTTCCTCCAAGCAAGGAATTGGAGACGTCACAGTGACCACTAAAGGGGCCAATTTAGTGGGCGTCTTGTCGTCACCCCCTGTGCAGCTCAGAATTGCCCTCAACACAAAACATAGCCATGCGGTGCAATAAACACAGGGTGCCGTGAGGTTCCCGAACGTGCAGCCTGCTCTGTCAACAATTGACATCATCAGGCAGCGACGCGACGGGTCTTTCATCTCGAGTGATTTTGGTTGGAGTCCTTGAGAGTGGCAGAAATAGCCTTGCATGCCAAGCAGGAACAACGTAGAAATATTGTTCATACCGTGCTATTGCCTTTCGTTGCAAGGTGTTTAAGATGTAAACCCGCAATTGCACATCGATGCAAAAAATGACAGACCACCCACTGCTCTGGACCTTAAGAGGCAACATCCAGAATTAAACATCCCAGGCGGACATATCTGTGTGGACAGTCCTTCCCTGACTGGGCCCTTTGCAAGACCGTCACTAGCCAGCTATGGGGTCTCTTGGATCACGTGTCAAGGCCGCCCCACCTGTAGGACTCCATTGCCTCATCCAGCACCACATTCATAATTTCGCAGGTGACATTCTCCTGGATCTTAGCCTCAGAGTAACCCCTGCGCAGTCCGACAATGTTGTGCTTCAAAGGGGCGTGCTTACCCGCAGAAACCGTGCAAAAAGACAGCACACGATCCAGTCCAGGTTCGCACGTGGCTGCTACCTTTTCTCCAAGCGTTCGTAGAGGGTCGTGTTGTTGGTTCGCAGCACCACCACAAGGTCCATCCACCTGGCCCACAGAAACGTGCTCATGGGATTTCAAAAGATATTTGGTGGAAATATCAGTGCGGGTGCCATCCTGCCCCAGGTTGCACATGGCCACGTGCAGGGAGCAGGATTACCTCTCAGGGAAGAAATCGCAGGAATGGTATTCCACTATGGTTGCCCCTTCACTCATTATGTCTTCCAGATAGTCGCATACCTGGCCAGCACTTTCTATGGTCAGCACTGCAAACAGCACCCTTGTGCCAAAGGCAGCATCCATGAAATCAATCAGTAAATGGTTTTGTCAGAGTGACAAAGCACTACCCTTGCACCTTTGTGGCCATGACAAGTATAATTTCATCCACACGTTCGTTCCAAAGGGATTGTTTCTCCACAAGATTGTTCAGACCCATCTTCATCACTGATGGAATGCAACAGTTGTTTTTGTTGCCTAGCAGTGTAAGGACAGAGGCAATTAGGAGCACATGTTGCTGTGTGGCAATATGAGAATATTGCTTTGTGGCAGCAAATTTTCTGAATGGATACCATTGTCCCAAAATGTGCCATCCAGATGACCTTTTATGCAGTGAGCTCTCTCTGTTGTCTCAATCAATTACCAAAGCCTTTTCCACTTTTCGAAGTCTTTCCACTTTGCCATAATACTTTGCACTGTTGCGACCATGGGATTGGTGCATGTGAATTGCATGATCGCTTTCTGTCGCACTATGACAGTGGACTGGCTGACAACATTGACGCCATGCCAGACCACAAAGCATCCCCGGCAGACTGGTGTGCTTGCCATTGGCTGCGTCAATGACGTGGAATGGAATTGGCCTTTGGATGACTGGACAACAATTCATAGCGTTTCTAGTTTAATCCAAAAGCAAATTCAGTGAAATCAATCAGCACACAGGATTAATGGTGACTGACTGACATTCAAAAGCATTGCTGACGCTTTCAAAGACAAATTTCAAGCAACACATCCCTGTCAGGCAAAGTCACCCAAGAGCTGCCTGCACATGGGCAGCACACATCGGTGTACTAGGCAATGTGCTACTGTCTTCTGGGGTTGTGCATTAGCATGATAGGACGCCATACCTTGTCCTCATCCACAATCCAGCTCTGATATTGATCATCCCATCCGTCATGCAAACCTTGGTCTTTCACAATGTCCCCAACGTTGATGTGACACAAGCCAGTTGCCTTATGACACCAGCAAAGCACCAGAGTTTCAGGCACAGTTTAATTTCAACCTTGTGGGGCAGTTTGCCAATCACTCAATCAATCAAGGAACACTGCAGATTAAGATAAGTGGGCATCTGCCAGCCCCCGAAAAGATTGCCACGCGATCCTTCATGGTGGCGACATCTTCGCATCAGCGCAGCCGCCGCTTTTCGGCCCCAGGCTGTGCCTGGATGTCTCCCAATTCAACTTTCCGCTACACGTTACACCTGCCGCACATTTGAGGGGCTGACGTGTGAGCACAATCTTCCGCCCGACACAGCTTGCAACTGCCCCAAGGAGCGAAACATCCGCAGCGATTCGGGCCGCCGACTGGCCCGCGTCAGTTGCCAGGCAGAGCATTGAAAAAACAGCGCATGCTCCACGTCTATCCAGGACGTACCCCGGCCGGATTCGCCGCTGCCCCAAACTACTCGGTACCTTGGCTACCAGATCGCAGATGGTCGACTTGCCCACGCCCGGCGTTCCGGTCACCAGTATGTTGGGCGCCGACCGCCGGGTCATGGCCACCGGTCAGCCCAGACAGACAGAACGCTGCTGCAACGCCCTCCGCGACGCTTCTCCGAACAATGCGCAATGATCGCACGCCCGCACGCGCGTGCGTGCAACCTGTGGGCCCTGGACCTGGGACCGGACGCCAGTGCGTTGCACCTCCACTGCCTCCAACACTGGAGGGACTCTTGACATTCCCCAGGCCGACTTGTTAGGAACCTGGTACATTCGTACATTTTATGACGATCGAGCAAAACACCGCGTACTTTACGCGCTCGGTGGGGGTGTCTGTGGGCCTTTGGGCGGCTCAATTGCGCAATGAGCCTTTGGGCTGCGGCGACCCCGTGGGTATGGGAGGCATTCACAACGGCCACGCGCGGGGAAGACAGGTCTGTCACTCACGATCCGAACCCATCATTAAAAACGAAGTGAGTGTGTTCGCAACGCCGCATAATGACCACCGTTTCACTGGGTGGATCACTTCTGCTTGATGGCTTGCGACTAGCGGGCATGTCAAAGCGTGAATCGCTGCTTGAGATTGAAAGAAATCTGAAAGTACCGAATAGCCATTTCTGTGATTGAATTTTGGTTTGGAATTTGGCTTTTGAGGTAGTTTTCGATCACACTCATGTTTGTTGAGGACAACATGAGCTTGATGAAAGAATGTCATGCAATTCACATAGAGATGCCTTGGTCATAGTGTCTTGTCCGCAAGATGCAAGGGTGTGTTGTGGGGAAGTTTCGGATGTGTGTTTCCCGAAGCTTTACAACATTGTGACCGCCCTCTACTTTCACTTTGGCTTGCAAGATTTGTACTTGCACTTTGCAGTGGGGGCGTTTGGAAATGACCATATGCGGCACCTGAGTAGTCAGAATTGTGTTGTTTTGAATTCTGAGTGAAAGGGAAGCTGTGGCATGTTTCAGATGTGGGCTGCACCTTAGTGATGAGGTGGTATGGGGGTTGAATTTTTTTATGGGCATTTGTGATTATGACAATCCTTAGAGGTTGAGAATGGGACATTGTATCAGATAATGGAAATTGGCATGAACGTGGCTGATCATTTTAAGCGCACCCCAGCATGTTTGGGGCACAGCAACCTGTGCTGTGAACCACGCCTTGGACTCCATGTCGTCTGGCCATGTGAGCTCCAGCGCGTGGGATGGCGACCCCTCCAATCGCCTAGCTATTGCCATTTCTCTGGCTTACTTCGAAGAGGACAGGCCCATCGTGCTACGTATGATGGTGTGTTTCCTTTAACAAGTGGTATTTATAGTGCGATGGTGCGACAGTTCATGAGTTGTTGTCTCCAGAATAACCACTCTGGCCACTTTCACAAGCTGGCCGGGTTCGTGTCCATTTCTCATGCCAAGTTTCTATTCCCGCCGCCCAGACCAACTATGATCCATTGTCGACTAGCCTAGCAACTACCCGCGTACACTACCCACTCCCACTCTCCCTCAGTCCCACACTTCCTCAGCTCCTATTCCCGCCGCCATCCCCAACTATGATCCAATCCCAAAGCCGTCCCCGTTCGTTCACTATAGCCAATTCCCTTTAACTGGCTCCCCTATCATATGTACAGCACCACTCCCCACATGTCCCCAGCCCAACTTGCTGGGAACCTAGTACATTCGGACGCCATCAAACGGGAAATTTCTGACCGGCGAGCAAAGCGCGCCGTACTTTGGGGGTGGGATGGAGTTCGTCGACTGAAGGCGGCGGTGGGCGGGCACAAACACCCACACACAAAGCCCAGGCACAAAGAGAATGCTCGCGTTCTCACGTTCACGGAGCTGAACCGCGTGGGGGTTTGGCATCGATACGGTCATCTGCGCTGCGTGCGGATCGCGCAGCGGTGTGCAAACTCAGGAACGGCAGAGAGGGGGGGTCGGGGCCATGTTGAGGCGCAACGCGAGGCTGCGCAAGGAGTACTTGTACAGAAAGAGCCTGGAGGGGAAGGAGCGGGAGGAGTACGAGAAGAAGAGGAAGATTCGCAAGGCTCTGGAAGGTGTAGTGCAGTGTGGGTGGGTGGATGGGTGGGTGGGTGGGGGTTTGGGGTGTTGCGGGGAGCAGCGAGCGGGCAGTTTGGCGTGCCGGGCACGGTTGCAGGGATGTGGGCCGATCAGTGGGCACTGTGGCGATGCCGCGTTTCAGTTGCGGATGCTGTTTCAAAGCCTTTGTTCTTCCCCTTGCGCCCGATGCCGATTTTCCTTGTGCTTGGGGAGGTGGAGGTTGACCGTTAGCGTCGCGTCGTGTTGTTGCAGAAGGGAAGCCACTCCCCACAGAGCTCCGGGCTGATGCGAGGCTAAAGAACGCGGCAGAACTGGAAGATGACAACACGGCCGTGCCTCGCACGCACATAGACAACGAGTATGCCCACGCGGGGATGGTCGACCCAAGAATATGTGTGACGACCTGTCGGAACCCCTCCAGCAAGCTGGCACAGTTTTCCAAGGTGGGGCCATACCTGAGGATTGAGATTCAAACGTGCCATAAAGTGGGCATGCCCATTCTGAGCAACAATTTTCTGACCCTCATTTCCATGTTGAATAAGGGAAAGTGGAATTCTCTAAGCGAAACAGTAGTAGCCTGCAACACAGAGGAGCACATGGTGCGACAAGATTTGAATCTAGGTGTCCGCGCTGGTGCCAATGTCTACTCGCCTATGGGCTGCGGGCTCAGTGTAAGAGCTTCCTGAAATGGACTTGGGTGGATGGGGGACAGTTGCTATAATGGAATATTCTTGTAACTTCAAATTGTGTTGTCTGAATGTGACCGTTTGTGTTCCAGGAGCTGACAAACGTGTTCCCAAACTCTCAAAGGATTAATAGGGGTGGCATGAAACTGACTGAGCTGGTCGAAACTTGCCGTAATCACAATTTTTCGGACATCATTGTGGTGCACGAGCATCGCGGGCAGCCAGGTAAGAAACTCCAGATTCTTACCTTCTGCATTGGGCTAGTTGGTGACCATTCGTCCAGCGAGACTGCCATGGTGCCGCCTTTTTGTTGTAGCCTGTGGTTAGATTCAGAAACGTGTGTCGTTGGCAATCTGGTTGTGCTTGATTGGAGGGATGCTGTGAGGGTGCCAGACTGTGGATGTCATTTGTTGCCCATTTTGGCCACTGCTCCCAATGTTTTCAGCTTAGATCCATTTCTGTTGACCTTGTCAGGTGCTGCACTGTGTTCATGCTGGCCTGCTGATAATCAGCCTCCTGAGCAGGGTTGTCACTATGTTTTGGACAAATGCATGGGTGACAGGAACAAGCATGACACAGGGTTGGACTGGTGCTTGTATCATACTTTTTGACTATGATACCTGGTGCTTGCAGATGGGATGGTGGTGTGTCACTTGCCATATGGGCCCACAGCATATTTTGGGATAACAAACACGGTGAGAAAAGTATTGGCTGTTGTTAAATGTCTGCCAAACTCGACCTGCAGTGCAGCTACCTTGCATATGTTTGACCCATTTGCACCTTCTTGGTGTTGGAGTTCTGCTGATTTTGATCCCTAGTTTTGTGTTGTTTGTGCTTTGGTAACACTAATTGGCTCATTGCTGTTGGACACTATACTCGTGTGCATTGTGTCTTGTATGAAAGGACACTACCTGTCTGTGTCTTGTTTGTAAAGCACTGCCCATCACCAACATCACAAAGGGTACTGTTCTTCCTTTGTTGCTCTGGTAGTGGCATGATGATGGATGGCTTCCACTGTGTGGGCAGGTGATGCGACACGACATTGGTACCAAACGAGAGGTGGGCACAGTCTCTGATGTGTACCCTCACTTGGTGATTGACAACTTCACGAATCCCTTGGGGGAACGCATTGCAAACATTTTAAAACATTTGTTTCCTGTGCCAAAACTCACCAGCAAGCGAGTGGTCACAATGGCCAACAGGAATGAGTATATCTCATTCCGGAACCATATGTACAACATTCCAAAGGGTGTCAAGTCAATAGAGTTGACAGAAATTGGACCACGCTTTGAGTTGAAGCCGTACCAGGTGAAATTAGGGACACTAGATGAAAAGCATGCTGAGAAGGAATGGGTGTTACGGAGTTTTGTCAGGAGTGCAAAAAGGCCACGTCTTGGGGAGGCCACACTGGATTGACTGGAGTTGCTGGTGTCTGATGAAGAAAAGGCTTGTGAGCTGCGTTCTTCAGGGAATGCTAGAGAGGCTCTTGTTAATGTTGAGGTTTGAGCAAATGACTCATTGTTGAGTGTTCAACAAACTGCATATGGAATGACTACAATCTGTGCTTCAAGCTGTGTGAAAATGGACTGAATGTAGGGAAAATGCGGGGTGCATCGACTTGTCCCAACAATTGGCGCCAATGGAGCGGGATAGGACGTCATTCAGAGAATCATATGCAACATCCAGGCTGAGTGTTCCTCCACACACGCATCCATTGCGTGGGAGGGTAGTAGAATGTCCATACCCAAGTTGTTTTCATCGCCTCAGCTCTAGAATGAGCCTTGGTTGTTTCTTGCACAGTTGTATCCTACTGCAATGAGGAGTATCTTATAATATCGTGAGTATGTTTTGACATATTATGCTTCAAATTCTGTTGGCCTTGCCATGATGTGCATGCACAGGCCTTTTCAGCAGAGGCAAAGTTCTGAACTCACAAGAAAGAAGTATGAACCAGAAGGAAATTTTTCATTGTCCCTGCGATATGCACACATACAAAACATGTATGGACTCCCTCCCCCATATCAGATTCAACATATCATGCGGAGTAAAATGACAGGCAGTACATTCCCAGATGCAAGCAGATTTCTTACTCATTAGAGAGTAGTTTCCTCAACGAATGAGAAGGAGAGTCCAAGAAATGTGAAATGAAGTAACCAAACCATGCATGCATGTCCAAAGCTACTAAGTGAGGCCGCCTCAGTGCACTGCCTTGCGTTATCACAACCTGTGACAATACCCAAACATCTAAGGCATGCAAAACATGATCACCCTCTGTTCAACAAACAAGTCTCCGTCAAGGTCACCCATTCCTGTCACGAGGTTCTGGCCTTGCATGATGTTGAGCGGAACCATGACTTGAATTGTGTACAATGCTACAGTGAGAGTCCTCAATTTCGGCAACGATACCTGATTCAAGTATTCCCTCAGAATATCTAGAGCATGTTCAAGGTGTGCCTCCAGCTCTCAAGCAGCCAGATTTGAAGATTACCACTTCGACTACATGACATAGTGTAGGCTGGCCCTTGTGCTCTTGTTCAATAGTGTACTCCTGGCTCACTTCACCAGAATATCTTCAATCAACTTAGGAGGTGGTGGCACCACCTCCTGAACAAGTCTTTGTATATATTGCCACCCTAGGTGGATGCATTTGGCACCAGCCATGCACAATGGATGAAAGCTGGGAGTTTAGCTTTGGCCGCCAGGTTTGCTATTGTAGCGTTTGCAAGAGCACCCTATCCCCAATGGGGTATTGTTGTCAATGCATGCACTAATCCTTGCATTTGGGGACCAATGTGATGCCCCAACTAACTCACTTCTTGATAGTATGTCAAAGATGCTACATCCATTTAAAGATATGTTATTTTGTCTATCAATCATTGTTACCACTTTCTGGCCAATCGACGTGTCAAGGAGTGTCATCACCAGTTCTTAAAAGGCCACTGCTATGAGGACACTTTTGTAGTGGTGGACAGTTGGCAAGTAACATTTTTGACCTTTGGCGATTGCATTTTACATTATTTTTGATTCAGATGGCCTATGCCGAATGCAAGTGGAATTGTGCCAGCAACACCCCACCCAAGTGTGGGAGTTTGTCTCAACCAAGACACAAACTATCCCTCTAATGTGGGAGCACCTGCTGGGTGGGTTTGTGTGTGGAGTTTGTGGATCAAATATCAATTGATATGCCAAAATATCTAGATAATCGACCTCGTGACCCCCTCTCTCCACGGTCAATTCTGTCCATGGCTCATTTTCTAGCCATCTTATGTTGCCTCATGGGCACCCTCGTTGCATGTCTACCCACCTTTGGGCCCTTGCCACCCTGGAAGCACTAATTGTTAGCATTTGAAAGTGTGCACCACAGCCATTGAGTGCCAATATGGCAACCCTAACGGACATGCCCATGAGGGTCTTAATAGCCATTGATAGGTTTCACACCAACCCTGGATGCAAAGACAACAACATATCCTTTCTTGAGGTTGGTTGGAGGTCCACATTGGCATTCCAAGATGGTCATCTAGTGCATCAACACACCATGCACCACCTTTGCTTGCCATGCTCGGCATAGATGTTTGTTATAATTTGCTATAGTTGTGCTCCAGAATGTGCTCCAGCTGTTGTCGTCCCGTGGTTCCACCACTAGCTCCGGCTCCACCACCACCTGCTCCCCCTCCTCCATAAGAGCTCGCCGTCAAGAATGACCAATTGTAGTTCATGGTCCGAGCAACCAAATCTAACCCTGATTCATCCTAATGTCTTGATTTCCTGTGGAAATTTTGTAAGGGCATGCTCATTCTCACCTATGCTATATGTCCAATGTATTGTCCAATGAGGGACAAAGTGTAACCCAAGGGGGTATGGTGTAGATTGTTTTTTAAAAACGGTTGCACCAAAACAACAACGTTTCATCTTGTTGAAACCATCGTCCAATTTGGAGGGCAATATAGGGAAATGATTCCACTTTCTAATTTTTACTTTTTGACCTTTTCTTCAGCAAATTTCGACATTGGGTTTTACAAGTGTATTTCTTTCTTTCTTTCTTGGGGAATCTTAGCCACCATTTGTGGGGCGAGGACATGCCCTGCTGCACTTGGGGGTACCTCCTTGTGGGCGCCTTTGAGTGTCGCACCCAGCTTCATTGTGAAGACTTCATGATGGACTTAGTCCACCTTTTTGATGGTATTGTCTCCTTGTGCTTCGTCACCCTCCTTTGCTCCACCCAATTGTCCACCGTGGCCTGGTCACACTCCACGGTGGAGCTTCCGCCCTCACAATCAACCCCTTGCATACCAACACATTTCATCATAGCCCATAAACGCGAAGGTGTAGAGGCTCTCGGAGGCCGCAAGCACATACCAACCGAGGCCAAAGGAGTGGGGAGAGAGGACGCGCCTCTTTCTTTCTCCCCCTCCCCCGCCCCTCCATTTGGCCAGGGTTGTACCCACAACTTGTTTGTAATGCTATCTACCTCAACAGCCACCTTGTCTACCACCAGCTCAAAGCATACTAGATACTCATCTACACCGCGGAGATACATAATAATGGAATTGATATTCTAGGTCCTATTATCCTCTCTCACGCATACAGACTCACGCTTTCCTCCACCAATTCGTTTGGATCTTGGTGGAGTAGCCATGGTAGTCCCCACAACACTAGACCAATTCAATCCAAGCAAGCTCATGGTGTGGCCTCCAGAGCAACACGTCACTCGCAAAGCATGGCACACACTTTGCTTCAATGTGAATGAGTGACATGGGGTCAAAACACTCACCACCACGTATGCCTCGATGATGAGGAGCTGTGGCAGCGGGGCGCACCCCAATCTCCATATTAGGTGCTGTCAAAGCCCCAAGCAGATTCAATGGTCCGGGAGGCCCATTCTGGAGCTGTTGCATCAGATTGCCATGTCAAGAACTGACGTGTGCTTATGCACATGCTCAGCCCCTACCAGGTGTGGGTGGGCTATTGCTAGAAAAGGATGCCGGTTGGAACGTCTGGCTTCCCTTTCACCAACCGATTCTCAAATATGTTGTCAATTTAACTTTTTGTCATCCAACCTCAAGGATTCGCTCCTCGTCCAGAGCCCCAAAAACCTTTCTTGGTAGTGCACATTTCTGAAAGCAAAGGACCATGGCAAAACTCAGATGGAGGCTCGGCGGGCCCCTAAGCGAGGCACCAGCACTCGATGAACTCGTTCCATATGTAGATTGCACCTTCGCAAGAGCACGTGATCCACCTACCCGTGATATAGTGTGCATTTTTCCATTTTTCCATTTTTCCATTTTCCCATTTTCCCAGTTTTCTATTTTTGGAGTTGAATGACAATAGTTAGATCGGTGTTGTCCTTGTGATTGTATTAACAAATAACCTCACCAACTTCCTCCTACCTTCCACCCTAGCACTATCAAGTGGAACGTCCATCGACAACAACAGCGCCAACAACCCCATTGTTTTCCATTGCGGTTTCCCAAACTTCATGGCGAATTTTGCCATGGATTTAAGTCCCT